TTAGTGGACTTCACTAGTTCATAGTTTTATGTGGTGTTTCCAAGATTTGGGAAGAAGCATTTCAAAATAAGCATGTTCTATTTTTCTTGTGGTGGGAGGGCAATGAATAATTATATTTTGTTGAATTTATCTAGGAGGGAGAGATCTCTCTTATGGAGAAGGTATTTTTTTCTCTTATACTTTCTTTCAATCTTTCTGACTTTCTATAGCTTTTGCAGTGTGCAGTGCAGCTATTTCTGTGTACATCAGCCTTTCAAAGCAAACTTTAGGGAAAAGACAATGTTTAATGTGAATGAGGAAACATGAGAGATGAAAATCAGTTGTATTTAAGCGTATCCTGCAGTCTTCCTTCCCACCCCCATCCTCATTGCTTTACTGGTTTACTGTTTCACTTGGATGGTGGGTACACTTTCTTTTAGTTTGCACAGAGGAACTCCTCAGACTCCCCTAAATCTCATCTCAGGAACTGACTGCAGGGCTAGGAAGTGTCTTACCAGATATGCTTGCTCCCCCAGGTGTCCAGAAGTGGCCCTCGAAGTCTTGTATTTTTTTTCACTTGAGACTTGTTTTGTGATGGAGACGGTGTTGAAGTCTCCCTGTGATGAACAGCACCCTCAGCAGGCTGAAGAATTCCACGGGAATCTTGAGCAGAGCAGCAAGGTTTCAGGTATGTGCTGAAATAGGGATTGTGAACATTGCATTTTGTTGCCGATATGCTGCTTCATCACTTGGGGAAATGTCAGTATTGATTATAAGCCTTTCTGTATAAGATTTTGCTAAACCTACTATTAATATATTACAGAACATGTTATTATAAGAGGATACCAGAATGAAAAAAAGGCAGCCCTTGAGAATAAAACTGACCAGACAAGTGCACAAACCCAGTATTTTGCCTTTTAACCTATAATCACCAGCCTTATGCTTCAATAGATATGTTTATATCTATAAAAACACTCTTGTTTTTCTTGTAGAAGTTGAACTGAAAGAGGTTTTGTTGGTTGTTTCTGAGTCTCTTTGTGTACCTGAGTCTCCACTTTCTGTACAATGCTTGCTCAGGAATCCCTGGTGGTCAGCCAGTTCATAGATATAATGGCTTCTGATTTTTTTAAAATACATAATCCTCTCTTAGGCTCCTGCATATCCATGCCCAGATTGATGCTGAACAGTGTTTGTATTGCTTTGCAAATAGGAGAAGAAATCACTTTAAAATCTGGTCATAGAAAATGCTGGCTAATATTATTAATATTATTTCTCTGATGGCACAATGACTTTATGTTCTCTGTACCCAGCTGAGGATTCAGGACCCTGGAACAGATCAGGTGATGTTTACACTGCTGTCCTTCAACAAGGACAATCACTGACTTTTTCCAGCACTTCTCTCTTTCACACAAACCAGCTCTGTTGAGCTCCTAAATGCTGTCAGTGCCTTGAGTAGGCACTGCAGCCTCTGCCACCCTGCTTGAAACGGTCTGACAGCTTTAACTTTCTCCAGGGAGGAATCTGAATTCAGTGTTGGACAAAATGGAGTATCTGGCAGATTCTAAAGCAGTTGTTGAGTTAGTTCTCCATGGTTGTTAGGATATACTCAGGATTTTTTCATTCCTGAAATATTTCACAAAATGTCTTAAAACAATTTGAAGAGGCAGAGAGAACAACATAAAGGGTAAAAAAGGAATGTAAACGGATAGTTAAGTGAGGCAGCAGGTTTCAGTTGTCAGAAGCATTTTTAGTATGTTAGTTTTTATAAAATCTTGAAATAAAAAAAATTAAATTGAAAGTTAACTATGACTTGAATTACTAGCTGATTTATTGGGTTTTTAGCAGGAAGAAAGTGTTCTTCAGGCAGTTTTTGTTATTGTTTAAAGTAAGCTACATAGAAGGCTAGGGATGCATGTTAATATATGCTTTGATTCCAGCATATCTGTGATTAAAAAAAAAAAATCTTATTGCTTATGATTTACTGCCTTGGTGAAACATGGTCCATTTTTACATATATAATACATTACAATTTATCTGTTTATGCTCAATTTAATCTGTTATTTATTTTTAGGATGAAAAATGTATACACATTTGATTGACTTTTCACAAATACCTTTTTGTGCTTTGTTCTGTATACTAAAATATTCTTTACCCCTGGCTTCACAGAAATTAGTCACAGCTTCTACACAATTTATAGCTTCAAAAGAAGTGAATTCTTCTGTGGGGTACAGAAAAGGCTTGAACAACAAGGATTTGTAAACTGAATGGAAAACTACATCATTTTCTTGAAATAATACATCCTTGTCGTGCCATCTAGTGATTACAGCATGAAGTGCAGCAGCCAAGATGCAGAGCAAACATGGGCTTTGGTGCCAACTATTTTAACTAACAGTGGGAAAGATGGCATTACCAATTTTTAAAATATCTAAAAAATACTGCTTTTTCTGCATTTGTGATTTGCATATGATGGATTTACACTTCTGCTACAGAATCAACTGTTACAGTTTTGCCTTTTGTCAATTGCCCTTGCAAATCCTATGTAAACATTTAGTGATGAGGTGTGGGTATCCTAGGAACCAGGCAGCTTTTGCCCTCTTGGAGTCTGCTGTCAGATAAGTAAAAATGTGTAAATGCTGCAGCTTAGAAAGAAGTGTGATGAAGAACAGCAATACCAAGTGTCCACATGGTAATGTTAACAGGATGGAAAACCTTTGTGCTGTTTTTTCCTTTGTGTATGTGAGTCCACAGTCCTATGAAATGTAATTTGTGATCTCCAGAATAGATCAGATATTGAATCAAGTAATAAAATTCCTAACTTATTTTCCCCATTCTTCCCACAGCAGGAGTAAAAAAAGATATTGAAAAACTTTATGAAGCAGTGCCACAGCTTGTAAATGTGTTTAAAATAAAGGAAAAAATTGGGGAAGGTAAATGTTTCATTTTATTTTGCTTGGAGTTAAGATTTCTTTTGGCATTTCTAACTTAAAAAGTGTAAATCTAAGATCCTAATATACACAATTTAAGCCAAATGCCTTTTCTTGACTTATTACATGGTCTCTAGGAATTCTAATATGCTTCTGAGCACATAGGTGTATTAATTAGGAACACTTTCAAGATATTTTCTTGAAAATCTGGTCTATTAAAGCCTTGCTAAAAAAACAGCATTCCAATTTTGGCAATTAAAAATTTTTGATGTAGATTCAAGTAAATAACCTTAAAAATCCCTTCTTTTTCTCCCTTACATGAGAAATCTACTTACATGTAGCTGTGTTCTGAAATACTTAATTGGTGATTCTTAAGTTAGCTTTGTTTCCACTACAATCTCTTGGGCAGAAGTGGATAAGGAAACTGAAATGTTGGAGCTGCTTTACTTAAAATTGAACAACTTTTTATTTTTGAAGATTTATGGTATCAAATTTTAGAATGCTTGTGTTCCCATTGCCTTCAAAAGACAGTATTGCAAATACCTTAAATTAGTGTCAGGCATGACTATAAATAGATTCAGGTACTTCTGAGTGTGGGACTTCAGCACTTAAAAGATAGTGTAATTAAACAAAATTTCTGGTTTTACTATTGAGAGCAAACAGTATTTTTAAAAAATACCATTTGCAGTACAACAGCATTATGAGAAAACAAGCTTCAGCTAAGGATTCCACTCTGGAATCACTTTCATTTTAGCAGTTCTCACCTCCAAAAATAATATATTAAGTCAAATTTGGTAATCCTTGTTGATGCAATCAATTCTGTTCAGGTTTGTTTGGGATTTTTTTTTTTTTTAATGCTAGCATGAAGTATTTAGGTTTTGCTGGTATTTTGTTGTATGTTTGCACTCAGACTGTTGAACCGGCATGATGCAAACACACTACTTAAAATGTAATCAAAAGTAATATCTATTCTTTATTGATATGGAAGAACACTTCAGCTTGTATGTTCAGATATCTCAGACCATTAGGATCAATTAACCTCCTAAGAGGCTTGTTAGGATATCCTTAAAATGAAATGGCTGGGTAAGCTTATCATACAGGCTGAACACTCCCTGTCTCAAGCATGTGTATCACCTTGGATGTGGTAAAATGCTCTGGGCAAATAAACAGTGCAGTAACACATCATGTGGCAAGCCTTACTTTATAGATAAGGTACAGAATTAAGGAAAACATAACAATTTCAGAAGTGCTTTGAATAGCAGTGGCAGTGCTTTCCAGATCAGCATTATATAGTCCTCTTACATTGTAGGGAGAGGAGTTAAATGTCAGATGAAAGTAAGCTACCTAAACAAGAAAGCAAATCAAAGACAGGAAATTTACATTCAAAGAGCACTGTGTCCCAGGCAAGTTAGACAGTGTTATATTTGCATTTTTACTGACACAAAAAACTTGTATACAAGATCAGTATATTCAGTAGTAGAAAAAAGGAACTGAATTTTTTTTTTCTAGAATCTGCTTTTGATGTAGTATCAAGTGTACTGCAGGATTGTGAACAGTTAGATCACTTCTGTAAAAATCTGCATTGACCTAATTAAAAATTTTGAAGACAGTGGTTTTCTCCTTTGTTTACAGGTACTTTTAGCTCTGTGTACTTGGCCACAGCACAGATGCAAACAGGATATGAGGAAAAAATTGCTCTGAAGCACTTGATTCCGACCAGCCACCCTCTGAGAATAGCTGCTGAACTTCAGTGCCTCACAGTGGCAGGGTATATAAACAAAAAAATATGATTTTCATAACTGTTGAGTGTTGTCTCACTGTTCTGTATTTATTTAAATTTTGATTTGTTTTTAACCGCACACGTGTATATTTTTTTTACTGAGAGCAAATAACAAAATTAGTGTCTTACCTGTAATGGATGCCCTTTGCTGCTAATCTCGGTTTCGAGGGGTACTCTGTTTACCAGCTGAGAAATTCCATTATATATCTTTGTGGTAACAAAGTTCCAGTTCTGAAATGCTTGGAAAAAAAAATCACTTCATTAGAAAATGTGATTTAGGAATGGATACTTGGCAGAGTATGCTGATTAGCACTTTCTTAAAGTAGTAGGATCATAAAAGTTAGGGCCTCTGATAATTGCAGTGGTAACTACAAACCACAGCCCCACAGATAATCTGTAGAGTTCTGTTCCAAATTGCGGAATGGAACATAAAATGGAATTCAAATGGAACATAGCAGTGAGCAGCAAGAGCACAAGTACTGATTGCTGATAAGACTGCTGTCAAAATATAAGTTAGGATTATAAAAGACAGCCTGACTGAAGTTTTCATTTTGAAGAAATAAAGGAAAATAAACATCCATCTTCTGGTCTTTGTTCAGTAATATTGCTTTTCTCCTAGGGGACAAGATAATGTTATGGGAGTTAAATACTGCTTTAGGAAAAATGATCACGTTGTTATTGTTATGCCATATCTGGAGCATGAATCCTTCTTGGTGAGTCTTAGACTTTTGATATGGAGTAAAACATTTAATTAAAAGCAGATGCATAATTATTCTATAATTATTCTATGAGTCTATAAATTACAGTATCCAAATATTCTTTCAGGACATTTTGAGTTCCCTTTCCTTTGAAGAAGTGAGGGAATACATGTTTAATCTGTTTAAAGCGTTGAGGCGCATTCATCACTTCGGTATTGTTCACCGTGACGTCAAGCCCAGCAACTTCCTCTACAACAGGCAGCTAAAAAAGTGAGTCTGGCCATACTGTGATTTCATCTGGGGATGTGTGCCTTGGCAGAACAGAGTCAATTAGGCTTTCAGGCTTCTTTCCTTCCAGCTCCATAACATGTGCTTAAATAATAAAGCTAAAAATGTGGTGTTTTATTTGTAACATTTTTCTTTCACTGTCAAGGGACTTAAGAAGGGAAGGGTTTTTTTTACTTAATGTAGTATCTACTTCATGGAGTGACAAATACCTGATAAAATGAGGATTTTACTACTGAGTAAAAGTACTACATTTTCAAATAAAAATGAGAAGAATAAAATATGTTGGTTTGTTTTAAATAAGAAAGTTAATTGTAACTTTCTATGCATTGTGGTGCATAGAATGATCCTTGTACATTTTTAATAGTGGATGGAGTAAAACCGATACAGGTAAGATAGCTGGCTTTGGGCTGTTTTCACCTTACATTGAATTAATGTTTATAACTAGTAAGGTTGGCTCTTTTGCCTGCAAGTTACGAAGTTTAAAGATTGTAAAAAGTGAGGAACTGCTTCTTTGTGAAGAGCTGGAATTGACAGAATGCTTCAGTGCAAGCAGTCCTATAGCTGTATTTGTTAGTAATGTGCTTGTGAAGTTGAGACACTGAGGTGCTGGAGTGTGTCCAAAGCCAAGCACTGCGAGGAGGTTGTAGTAGGATGCACATTCCCAAGTAAAAATCATGATAGGAAACAGCCTCAAGTTGCACCAGGGAAGGTTTAGGTTCGTTATTAGAAAAAAGTTTATCAAGCATTGGAATGGGCTGCCCAGGGAAGTGGTTGAGTCACCATCCCTGGAGGAATTTAAAAGACCTGTAGATCCAGCACTTAAGGACGTGGTTTTGTGGGACTTGGCAGAGTCGGGTTAACAGTTGGACTTTTAAAGATCTTTTCCAGCCTAAATGTTTCTTTGATTCTATGAAGTGAAAGTTTATAGGGGAGATTTGATTGCATTTTGCCAAACCACAAGCTTAAAAGTTTGAGAAATACTGTTTTGGTTTTTATTTTTAATCTGTCAAAATGAGCATGTACTGTCATTTTGCTCTTACAGTGTTTTTTGGAGCCTTAATCTCTACTTTGTGCATAGAGGTGTGGAGTTGAGTTTGAGACCCAGGGACAGATGGATTATTTCTCTACTTTTTGTAGCAAAAAATAATTATTTTAGAGACAAATCTGAAGTGTGAACTAATGTAGTCTTACCTGTTTGAAGACCAAAGTAAATTCCAGTAGTATTTGACAGAACTCTGTCAAAACTTTAGGCACTGTTGGTCTGGTTTGGCTTCACTACTACCTTTGTCCTCTGCCTATGGGAATCCTGCAAGAGTCAAGTCTCTTGTACATCACTGCTGGCTGAAGGTTCAGGGCTGTAGGATTCTAAGAACTTCAGAAAGAAGTTGCTGGAAATATATTTTTAACACCTTTGGAGGAAGGATGCACTTGATAAGATTTTGGGACAAGAAACAATGAACAATGGTGTAGGGTGAAAACATTGAGGAGATAGGTAAGATGGATCAGTAGGAAGAGAAGGAAGAAAATAGGACTGTGATGCTGGCAACAGTACAGATAAGCAACATTGAATGAAATGTGAAAGAATGATAAATAAGTAATGAATAGTAAATAGAGTGACTAATATATATTTTGTGACTCCTGATTCTGAATTTGTCTTTTCAGGTATGCCTTGGTAGATTTTGGCTTGGCACAAGGAACCCCTGATACGAAAATTGAGCTTCTTAAAACTGCCCACTCTGAAGACCAGCAGGGAAGTTGCTTGCGAACTAATCCCATTGTAACCTTGGGAAATGGGGTTTCTGTCAGTGTCACAGCACCTAAACAGATAGCTCAACAGTCAGCTTCAAAAGCAGCTGATAGAAGGTCCAGCTCGCTTTCAAAAGTACAGATGAAACAAGGAAGAGGAGGAAAGGTTCTCAGTCTCTTTCATTAGCGTTTTTGTATATGTTTAATGTGTTCCTTCATCCAACAGGGGGAGATGCAGTACTTGCACAGAAGCTGAGCCTGCAAAGCAGCACACTGTTCATTGTCTAAGGAGCTGCTTCTACATAATTATTGGCTTCATCATTATCTGTTAGATGTAATACAATGCTGAAGGCTGTATAAACCCTAACATGAGTTACTATTTAGGCAGCCTTAAATCCTTTTTGAGAGATATGGATGGGGAAACTCCTCCCCAAGCCAATAATCATTCACCTATGTTTAGTTACTAGTTGCATAACAAGTGCAGTACAGACTACACTAGGATTGTCTTGGGGCACTTCAGAGGTGTAACTGGTTTTGTAAACATGTTTGCTATTCTGTCTAGACCATGTTTCTTCATCCACACTAACCTGATGCTTGAAAATCACTTACGTGTAGTTGTTCTTGTTTTATGACACTCCACACTTTGTTTTGTCATTGCCCAGATGCCTGTTAAACAGAATCCTTATTGTCCCTTTTGTTGGTCTTGTAGGAAGACTCTGTGCACCATTCTGTCCAGCGCTCTGTCTTTGGAGAGAGGAATTTCAATGTCTATAGCTCCACATACCAGGAGAACTCAAGCACAAAAGTAAGAAGCATTGACTCAACAGTAGGATCAATCTGCTACATATTTGAAAAAGTATAGAACTGGTTGTTCTGTAAGGCTGAGTACTGCTCCAGAATGCTGTGGCACTAAAAGGTTTTGAGCAGACTATTAAATGTGTCTTTCCTGAAAGGCTCAAAGAATTTTAAATTTCTGTTTCAGTCCCTTTTGAAACTCAAGAAGTTCTGTAGTTGTCTCCCTAGCTGATCTTGTTTGGATGCTAAGTTAATGTTTTTTCCTATACATCTATCTGTGCAGCTAATCATAGAATCACAAAATAAAGTGAGTTGGAAGGGACCCATGAGGATCATTGAGTCCAACTCCTGGCCCTGCATAAGACACCCCAAGAGCTATACTGTGTGTCTGAGAGCATTGTCCGAACACTTCTTGAGCTCTGTCAGGCTGGTGCTGCGAGCACTGCCCTGGGGAGCCTGTTCCTGTGCTAAACCACTCCCTACTTACCTCCTGAAATTTAAAAAAAATTATTTTGCAGTTGAAGCTGAGGATAAACCTTGTAACTATTTTTTTGTAATTAGTATTTAATATGACAAGGGAGAAACCCCAACTAAATAGAGGGTTTGGTTTACGGTTTGGAGTTAATGTCTGTGTGTTGCTGTGTCATTTCATATTTTTTCTTATGTTGAGCCAAAAAAAGTCTTGAAACACTATACTAGCTTGAAAAATATTTGTCTTGTAGCTTCAGAATATCTAATATATATATTTTTTTGGTAAACACTGAAAATGTCTTCTGAAGGGGAGGAAGTCAGGCTATCTAGAAATTCCAGTGTCTGTTTTATAGTAGTTTTGATACTGTTAAAGAGGTTTGCTGTCTGTTCTGAAATTCTTGTTCATCAACACCCGTTAAGTCAGTATTTTAGGAACTGTCCTATCTATATGTAAAGGGAAACTTCTTAAATATGTCACCTTCTCTAAAATATCTCCATTGCAGCTCATAAAACAACCAAAGATGATAGATGTTTCATCTAGGAAGTTAGTAACAAAGAAGAAGGTTATTTCTACCAAAACTGTGAGCAATGGGGCAGCGAGGAAAGCTGCCAGTGGTTGCCCTTTAAACGTGCACTGTGACTGTTATGCAACGGACAGAGTTTGCAGTGTTTGCCTTTCAAGGTAATTTGCTTTGATAATGTTGTAAAATTGTCTGCTCTGCTGTCAGGCAAAGTCAGAAACTTAGATTTACTGGACTGCTGATTTAGTAAGTGAAAGATAGTATTTAATCTCTGCAGCCCTTAAAACACTGAGTATGCTCTTTTTAAACAAAAATAGTTCATGGAATTCATGGATTAGTTCACTGCTATCTGCAGCTAGAAAGATTCACTGGTAATTATTTTCTTGTTGTTATTTACCTACATGTGCTGTATAAAATCACTTGAGTTGATTACAACACTTAGAAAAGTGTTTTAAATTCTGTCATTCAGTAGCTATCTAATAGGCCTAAATTATAGCAACAGTTAGGATTCTGGAAATCATGAAATGTAGAATTAAAAGGAAGCATGACTGTTTTGTATTTGCTCATCTAAGAAACTAAGAGAATCACAGAATGGTTTGGGTTGGAAGGAACCTTAAAGGTTACCTTTTTCCAAACGCCCTGCCATGGGCAGGGGCAACTCCCACTAGACCAGGCTGTTCCAAGCCACATCCTACCTGGCCTTGAGCACTGCCAGGGATGGGCTTCCACAGCTTCTCTGGGCAATCTGTTCCAGTGCCTCATGTTGGAGAATCTTAGTAGCCGAGTTAAACTCCACCCTCTGCAGGTAGTTTTAGTTATGATCTACTATTGCCTTTTATCCACACACGATCTTTTAAATAATGATAATCTCACACCTTTTAGTTATTCTAACAAAAAGTAAATGCTTGGCAACACTCAGAGCAGCCCTTAGTTTGCTCTGCACTAACACAAAGCCATAGCATCCACATTCAAGAATCTCATATACTTTTTGCCTTGGGTTAATTAGCCTCAGCTTCAAAGTTTCCCATGAAAACAAGCCTTTAACAAAAATGACACTTCTGTTAGATGAAACTAAGAAAAGGTGATTGTGAATTAAGTATGCAATAAGTATTTTTCTGGTATTATCTTATGCTAGATAATATAATGAAAATATTATAGACTAGATAATAAGGTTTTTGCATGTATATCTTATGATTTCATGCTAGATTAGATGCTTCAAACCTCTGTAAAACTTGCATAAAGCAGGGTTAGGTTGTTTACACATCTTACACAAGTATATTCTAAAAATAACAATAACTATTATTAGATCTAGAACTTACGTACCAACTTTTATATTCTAAATATATTATTTGTCTCTTATTACAAGGCGTCAGCAAGTGGCTCCCAGGGCAGGAACACCTGGATTCAGAGCACCAGAAGTATTAACAAAGTGCCCCACTCAGACCACAGGTACTGCCAACAGATGCAAACAAATGGCTTTTTTCACCTTTTCATCCTTCTCATTTATGCATATTTTGTTGTCTTTTTTATGTGAGGATTTTTTAAATTTTTCGAAATTCATTTTTCATCCTTTCTAATGCTTTTCAAGTATTTCTTGATTTTAATTAAAAGTTTATTACTCTGAGGAAGAACAATTCAGGAATATTTTTCCTGTGTTTGAAACTTGAATATGTCTTTATTAATTTGAGAGGTAGTGCCATGTGCAGGAGTTGAATACAATATATTTTAAAAGACAAAATAATTTTTTATGAAGTTTCTTGGCTTATTTGTTCAAGAAAAATCTTGAATAAATCTTGGGGAGAGGGAACATTGTTTAGCCTTTTGTAGGCAAGTTGCAACATATGCTGCCATAGCAGGTATAATTAATGATGTAATTGCAAATGTGTTCTAGAAAGCATTATTTAATGACTTTTTATCATATTTTTATTTTTTGCTAGTGGTTTAAGTAGCTGGTATGTAAATGTCATCATTTTTTGAAGTAAAACTTGAATTTCCCTATGTTAAAATTTAGTTAATAAGATTCAGTGGTTTGGGTAAATATTGGGGAAGGGCAGAAGGATGTTTAATGCATTACCTGGTGCAAGAAAGGTGGGAGAGGTTGTGCCTACTTGCAGGATGGAGAACCAATAGAAGCAAAGTAACCCATTAAATATTTGGTGTATGGCCAGGAGTTCTGACTTAGAAAAAAATACACATAACCTCAAAAACTGGATTTAAAATATAAGGTTTTAGCCTTTTTTTTTTTTAATGGCTTTTGAGAAAGTTGTCAATTTTCAGTAGAGTACGTAAACACACTCAGAATTAACAATATACTTGATCAGTTTATGCCTAGATAGCTTATTCCCATTTGAAACAACATGTATGCTGTGGGTATGACTGGGATCCAAAGGTATGGCAGCTTGTTTGGAGTTCTTGTGCCTCTGCTGTAACTGCCAGCTTTATGGGCTAGCAGTCATCCAGAAATCTAGGATAAGTTTAGACAATCTCTGAATCTGTCTAGACAGAATTGAGGCAGAAAGAAGACATATCTAGGAAATCTTGGACACGTGCTGGTGTTAAGCACGCTTTCAGATGGTTCTGTTCTCCAGGGTAATGAGATTGAGGCAGAAAGTAGGGGTAAATCTAGACACCCTTGGGTGTGGCACCGACATCCCTGGTCTGAGTCAGTGGTTCTGAGCTCCTGCAGTATGTCAAAAAAGGCCTTAATTAGAACTGGGTACTCTAATACTAATTTTTAGGATACCATGTTTTATTTGAACTAGCGAGTATTACTGTCAACTTTCATTTGGGGCTGCTGGAATCACCTCCTTGTACTCCTGCCACTCTTACTCCTGGTTTTGGCCTCTGTGCTGGCTGTTATTGGCTGAATCCAGCTGACTCTACCCAGAGCTACCATAGCACATCTGACCCAGGTTCACAGTGCTGGGACTACAACCCAAACACCCAAGTTGAGGTCCAGTTACACTTTCCCTTGGTTTGTCCTTCTCTTGCCCTTTCCTCACTAGCTGGGTAACACTAGACAAAAGCATAGGAAGGAATCATGATTTTGATGTCATTCCACAAGATATTGTGTTCTGCTGATGATCACAGCTCTTCCACAATTGTAGGGCCAGGATTTACTGCCCACTCAGATGGATAAAGACTCCTAATTTCAGCAAGAGTTACATGATTAAACCTTTTCAGAGGTCTTGACCTTGATTACTCCAGCTTACCCAACCACATCCTCAGGGGGATGCATGGCCCCTCAAACAGATAGTATTACTGTTTCACTGTTGGAAAGATGATACTAAAACTTTTTTACAGGAACTGTGCAAAAGGCTGAAAACCTTTCCACTGTAAATTGTGCCAAATTATTAACTTGGATTTTTATTTTATAATAAAAGACATAAAATCTGGTTTTGCAACTAAAGTCAACCTAATACCTTTTTTCCAAATTGAAGTCTTTTGCTGAGTTTTTCTAATTAAACATCCAAATTAATTACTGCCTGTTTAGCTACTTACTTACTTTTTTCAATAGGACTAGGATGAATATGCCTCTATTTCCCAACTGTTAATTTTTCTTCCTGGAATTTGAGATCCTTCAAACTCTCTCCTTCACTTTCCTTGCCATCTCTTAAAATGTGCACCTTAGTGAGCCAAAAAAATTATGGCAGACAGGTGTTCTTATAACTTCCAATACTGAAATTTCCATCAGGCTTTGGCCTCTATCCCCAGAGTACTCGCTGTACTCTTCGTAACACAATGAAAGTGATAAATAACTTTGAACTATTATGGTTTTTAAACTGCCTATCTTGTCAAGTGAGTTCATATTAGAGAAGAACAAAGTTCATAATAAGATAAATTTCTTAGTACTGCCTACCTGTGCCAGCTTCAATTCCCAAAAAATTGTTTCACAAACATTTGTGAGGTTTTTTTATTTATAACCCTTATATAAGGGGTCATAAACCTTATATAAGGTTTCCTTCATAGGAAATAAAGTTAAATATATATCAAACAAGCCATTTCATTTGCCCCCTCTCATCTTCCCAGGTAAAACAGCTTCAAACATTGTTTTAGTTCACTTTAAGTTTAGTAAGTTAATGGAATTACTCCTATGAAAAAACTCCCTCTGCATTGAAGTAGGAAATTATTCTTCAGTCTCATTACAGAAATTTCCACTCTTATCTGAAGTATTATCTATATGATCAAAGTCAAGAAGTACTTCAGAACATAACTTTTGCTGATAGAAACTTTTCAGATCATAATTTATTTGTAAAGTTGAGGTTTTGTTTGTGATGAAATTATGAGTTTAGTTGTTAATAAATTTGCTTTCCTTTCAGCAATAGACATGTGGTCTGCAGGAATCATATTCCTTTCTCTGCTCAGTGGACGGTATCCATTTTTCAAAGCAAGTGATGATTTAACTGCTTTGGCACAAATCATGACAGTTCGTGGATCCAGAGAAACCATTCAGGCTGCTAGAACTTTTGGTATGCAAGCCTTAGTTATGGAGGAAGGGGGGAAATGTTACTTAATACTGTGATTTATAATCAAATTTTTTTTGGTGTAAATACATATATTTTTAGGTTAGAGAGAAATTTTGGAAGTAAATCACATTTTTGAAGTCTATATTGACAGACTTTTAAGACAGTTTTGTGTTTTTCTGTCTTTTACAATGTATGTATGGGGTACTTGGTCATAGTTTTCCCAACCTGTCTACTGCCTTTCACTAAGTCAGGGCTACTTGAGGTGAAGTATGCCAACGAAATGTTTCTTACTGGCATTTGGTTAGAATTCTTGAGACAGTGTTTCTATTTCTACAAAATTTGGCCTGGAGGCTTAAGTCAATGTGACTTAAAATTTAGGTGATGTAAACCTTGCTTTTGTGCCCACCCCTTCTCCCAAAAGGCCTAGTAACACAAACAAACAAGCTAAAAACCCAATACCCAACAGCTGGCCTGTTTAAAAAAAACACAATCACCACAAAACACAGAATATTCAAAAACCTTTCCCCTAATTGATTGCTAATGCTAAGGCTAAATGCTGCAGCACTTGCTACCTGGACATGTAACTGCCAACATCAATTTTCATTCTCCAGACAGAGGTGTAAAAATCAGGGTATTTAAGTGTCTTCAGTTCTGTTAAAATGACAGTGAAATGCAAAAGCTGGTGTACAGTGTGGCTGACAACCTGTCACCTCACATAACCCAGAGCTCTTTGTTCTGAGCAGAACTGAGATGATGACCCCTTCTAACTTTCAGGGGCTGCTTCTGTAACAGCAGGGCTGGTGTGGAGGTGTGGGAGGCTGGATTTGGTTCTTTGATAGATTTGGGATTTTTCTTTCATGCTGGTTATAATTTGAGACATGAAGTTTGTCTGAAACAAAAGTTACAGTTGCATAGAAAGTATAATAAAATGTGGCTTCCTGTGCAACTTTTTTCCCCTAGGAAAATCAATTGTGTGTACCCAAGTTGTCCCAGCTCAAAACCTACGAACCCTCTGTGAAAAGCTGAGAGGAACAAATAGCAGCTGTAAGAGATCTCAGGGGGAAGGGCCCAGCAGGTCTGACAACATCACAGCTTTGTCAGTTGCAGCAGACAAACCTTGTGCTCCTGAGACACTTGGAAAACAAATTCAACATTTACAGAATTTTCAGGAAAGTGATGGTGCTTTGGAAACGAAGGCAGCTGACATGAAAGGATGGGATCAGGTTCCTGATGAAGCATATGACCTACTTGATAAACTACTAGACTTAAACCCTGCAACAAGAATAACTGCAGAAGAGGCTTTGCTGCATCCCTTTTTTAAAGACATAAGGGTCTGAGAAGATAACTTACTTTGTTATTCCTCTTAGATGTTTTGTGTGGAAATGAAATACTGAGGCAGTTTTACCTTGTTGCCCTCAACATTTACACTCATTGAAATAACATCACACTGTGCTCTGAACTACTGAAATTTTGTCTTGTACAGTTAGACTGCAAATGTCAGTTTAAGAAATACTTGCAGATGCAAAAGTTACATAAACATCACTAACATGGGTCTTATCCTAAGACACTTCTGAGAGGTTATTGCTGTGCATACCTGTTCTCTAAGAAAGTTAACTTTGATCAAAAACAACAAAGAAAAAAGAGTTTCATAAGCTCTATGCTTAATTCTTGAGGTATTCCCTTAAAATTTACAAGTTTGCCTTAAGGTAAGACTGAAATAAGAAAGTGTTTGAGGGACTTTTTTCTGTACTTGCACATTTGGTACATGAGGGACTGAAAAGGGAACAAAGCGTATTCATTTTGTTCAGACTATTTTCAGAGAACAGTATTACTTTGGGAGTGTTGCTAGAGGAAAGGCCAGGTGCTGCAGATTATATCATCAAAAGAAAAGCATAACTTTTAAAAGTACATTTTTGTTCCTGTCTGGCCTTTGCTACTTAGAAAATAGTAATAAATGCAGTTACTCATTTTACATGTGTCCTCAGTGCCATGGGTGACTGTCAATATTCCGCAGCTGCCGCCTTCCAGGATGTCTTGAGTGCCAGGCATAGGTTTGATTTCTGTTATGGAAACTGATTTCTTAAAAAATAACTGTTCAATAAATGATTGGTTTTATAACTTCAGAAGCTTGTCTAGAGATGCTTCTATAACAGTCAGGTAAAGTTTTCCTGTGGGATGTTTCTGTTCAGGGAGTCTTCCACATTGATTTCATGCATAAATTCCTCAGTAAGAGGAGACACTTTGGATAGCTCTAGTTGTATGGCTGTTATAGTGGAACTATCCTAATCATCATGGAACTTACCACAGAGTTAGCTGGCTATTGTCTGGTCCTAAGGAGGAAAATCCCATACCTTCAATGTGCAAAGTAAGCTACATCATGTTCAACAGAAGTTTCTCTAAACCTCTTGATGATTCTGGAGACTGAAACATAATACAGTGTTTGTTACATAATACATGTATGTTTCTTGAGATGCTGATGGAATTGCTATAGGAGGTTCTGGCCCATTCTGAGAAAAGATTGTTACTTTGAAAATTCTTGTAAAAAGCTTCTCATATGAGCTGATAGTTATGATAGTGCAAAGATCCTGACCAGGATGGGCTGAAGAGACAAGATTTCAATATTTTTGAAATCTCAAATACATACAAAATAATGGCAATGTTGTTCTGTTTCTGGCATTAGCTATTAGGGGAAAAATATTTTCAGATGTCAGAATATTGATTGCAGAAAATCTTGAAACCCTCAAGACCCTGGGGCCCAGGTCTTGTAATTTTTGCTGTTTATATAATTTCAACACAGCACGTCACTGAGAAATTATTTATCTAAAGGAACTGTGGCCAAATTTGGCAAGCAAAGCTGTCTGCCAGTGTCTGCAGATGTATTGTTTCCTCCTACATTCACTCATGCTTGCCTGTGGTCTTGTGAGAGCACCAGCTGACAACAAGCAAAAATATGTCAGCTATCTCTTTTGAGCTTTCTAAGCAACTTCAGCTCTTAAGCTTCCCTGCTAACAGCCTTCAGTAGCTCCTTCCATCAGACCCACAACAATTAACCTCTGCATTCCTTTAAAAGCCAAAAATGAAAAAT